TGCGCTGATCAAGCGGTTTACGAGCATCAACCGCAATCTCCCACAGGATTGCACGGTGGTCTGCAGAACAGGCTGCCAGTTCCGGAACTTCACAAAGAACATCAGGGCCTCCATTAAGAAGATCGCTCTCGGGTGAAACCGCAGCACTCTTAGACGGGGCTGAAACGGTAACAGGGGAAGCGGGGCGTTTCCGGGAAACGGTGGTCCGTAAACCACTGTCGCCAGCCATATCAGTGTCAGCGGGACTAGCAAAACCCTCAGCCGCTGGTATGATGACATCATTGTTACCAGCATCACAGGAAGCAAAACGGTCTTCACTTGCATCTGAATCTGGGAGTGAACAAGCATCATCCTCAGAGTCAGCAATGACAGGGTCTGTGGATCCTTCTTCAGCGAGACTGATCTCACATGGTGGAACTGCCGCAGGGTCCACTACAGGCTCAGCAGCCGGAGGGGCCCTTGCAAGGTTAGGACCATTACGGGCCAAATGACCTTCTTTGGCACACTTGAAACATTTACCCTTAAGAGGGCATTGCGCGGAACGATGGCCAACTTTATGACACAAGTCACAACGTAGAGGCTGAACCCTATACCAGACTTTACAACTAGCCCCACGAACAGAGATAAACCTCGGTATCTCTTTTTTCACTACCATCGAAACTATCCTAGACTCAGTGGAGACAGACGGTCTATCAGGCCAAACCTGATGCCTCACACTCTTAATAGAACCATAAGCTGACAGGGCAGAGGTGATGGCTTCATTTGGACCCTCAAAGGGGAACCAGGAAACCACCACAGTTGACAACTGGGGAGGAGGGGGTGGGGGCTGAGCCACCCTACACTCCAGCCCATCCAGCACCACCGCACCTAACTCCTCAAAATAGGCCTTAGCTGGCTCACCACCAACAGCAAAGGTGACTGAGGCCACACGACCAGGACACGCTTGAACCGCCACAACACTATATTGAGATTCCTTCGCAAAAAAGCCAAAGGCATTACGTCCGGGAAGGACAACCCCTCGGGGAGCCCCTGACAGTCAATGTCAATTGACCTCTTAAACAAAGCAACCATAGTGAGACCAAGCAAGTTCGGTTCAACCCAAAAAATCCCAAAAAGGGATGGGTGACCAAACGGAAAGACCAAAGAAAAAAACAACTGCCAAGGGGGAAAAAGTCGCAAGTTTTCCCTCCCGGCAGGTACTCACTTATCCAACTAAATCCTCAGAAAACCACAAACCAAACTAACCAAACTTCACACCGCTAGGATGAGAAGCCGATCCCTTACCTAGCAAGAAAAACTCCGCGTCAGGTAAGTATGTGGGTCTCGTCAGTTTTTTTTTATGCTTAAGGTGGACGGCCGGGCCCCCGATGAAGGGAGGTGCAGTGCCCGCCGACCTACATGTCTAAGCCCAACCCATGGCAGGCGTGCAATGCCTTAGGGATGGGGTCCACCAGAAACGAGGGTCACCAGACGCCAAACTCGCTGGGGAATCGAACCCCACCTCACCTAAAAATTACACACTCACTCCAAGGAAGAACGCACTCACAATAATAATAGCAGACCAAAACGATAATAATAGCCCCTAGCCAGCCAAGGGGTGGCACTGGAAAAAACCAAAACGATAATCATAGCCCCTAGCCAGACAAGGGGAGGCACCAGAAAAAACCAAAACAATAATCATAGCCCCTAGCCAGCCAAGGGGAGGCACAACAAAAACCAAAACAGCTAAAAAGCAAACCGGAGGGAGTCACCATGCACGGATGCAATGACACCACGGGCACACCACTGCCGATAAAACACGCGACGACGCCTGTTAGACTTGCACCGCCTGAAGGAGACTGGTAGGTAGGACTTCAGGCGGGCCTTGATGGATGCAATCACCGCCACGGCGCTAGGACGATATACAGCTTACCGGAAAACAAAT